GGGGTACAAATGTTTCAATCCGAAAACAAAAAAAAAATGTTTATCAGTGTGGATGTCTTTTTTCTAGAAAATCATCCTTATTTTCAGAAAACTTTTCTTCAGGGGGAGAAAGAGAGTGAAGAAAATTTTTGGGAGATTTCTACTAATATTCCCTTACCTAAAACTATTGTCTCACACTCTATTACTCCGAACACTGATCTTTTTAAACAGAGAAATGATATTCTAGAATCAGGAAACCCGGGGCCTCCTAGTCCTAATCTGCCGAGCCTTACTGTATCTCCAACAGGGGGAGAAATCCTACCAACGGTTCCAAAAAACCGAATACTGAGCTTCTAGTTTATAACAGCAAAAAGACTCATCAAAAGAGTAGAGAGCCTACTATTGTACCTAAGCAAGGCCAATCAGAGGTCCCGAGCAATGACTCCCTGAACACTCAAGGTACTCTAAATCCTAACTTGTCTGTAGTTGTCCCTACTATTTCTAATCATACACAGTCACCTAGCCAAGTTCCTGTAGACCTTAATACCCCTTTAGCTGTTAGAAAAGGAATCCGAACCTATACCCAGCATCCCATTGCCAAATACTTGTCTTATGATAAACTTTCCCATAAACATAGGGCCTTTACTTCAAATATTTCTCACTTGTTTGTTCCAAGAAACATTCAGGAAGCACTAGATGATCCGAATTGGAAATCAATAGTGTTAGAGGAGATGAATGCTCTTAAAAGGAGTGGAACGTGGGAGATAGTTGACTTGCCCAAAGGAAAGAAAACTGTTGGGTGTAAATGGGTTTTCACTATTAAATGTAAAGCTGATGGTAGTGTGGAAAGGTAAGGCAAGACTTGTGGCGAAAGGTTTTACGCAAACGTAAGGCATTCATTACCAAGAGACGTTTGCTCTTGTAGCAAAAATAAATTCTATTCGAGTCTTATTGTCGTTGGCAGTCAATTCTAACCGGCCATTACATCAGTTGGACATAAAAAATGCCTTTTTAAATGGAGACTTGGAAGAATAAGTGTTTATGAGCTTGCCACCTGGGTTTGAAGGAAAACACGGTCAGAGCAAAGTCTGTAAACTCAAAAAATCCCTGTATGGTTTGAAACAGTCTCCAAGAGCGTGGTTTGAATGCTTTGGAAAGGCTGTGAAGAGTCATGGGTATCATCAGAGTCAGGCAGACCATACCATGTTCTACAAACACGGTGAGGAAGGGAAAATTGTTGTTTTAATTGTGTACGTGGATGATATAATTTTGATAGGTGATGACATTGAAGAGTTGACCAGACTGAAGAAGAAACTTGCTAAAGATTTTGAAGTCAAAGATCTGGGAGCATTAAAATACTTCCTTGGAATGGAATTTGCCAGGTCAAGAGAAGGAATTTTCGTAAATCAACGAAAATATGTACTTGATTTGCTTAATGAGACAGGACTACTCGGGTGTAAAGCTGCTGACACTCCAATTGAAGTCAACCCAAAGTTAGAAGTTGCCGAACCCGAGAATATGGTTGATCGTGAAAGATATCAGAGATTGGTGGGAAGACTAATTTACTTATCTCACACACGCCCAGATGTAGCATTTGCAGTCAGTATAGTGAGTCAGTTCATGCACTCTCCTGGACAGGAACACTTTGAAGCAATGTACAGGATTCTGAGGTACTTAAAGGGCTCACCAGGTCAAAGACTTATGTTCAAGAAACAAGGTCATTTGCAAGTGGAGGTGTACACAGATGCTGATTAGGCAGGCAGTATAGTTGATAGACGATCTACCTCATGATATTGCACCTTCATTGGAGGAAACTTAGTCACGTGGTGAAGCAAGAAACAAAATGTAGTAGCGAGGAGTAGTGCGGAAGCCGAGTTCAGAGCACTCGCCCATGGGATTTACGAAGCTATGTGGTTAAAAAGACTCCTTGAAGATTTGAAGGTTACTGTTTCTCCTCCAATGAGAGTCTATTGTGACAACAAGGCTACCATTTCAATTGCTCATAATCCAGTCCTCCACGACAGAACCAAACATGTGGAAGTTGACAAACACTTTATCAAGGAAAAGCTTGACTGTGGTATGATTTGCATTCCTTATGTCTCTACTACTGAACAAGCTGCAGACATCCTTACCAAAGGACTACACAAGAGACAGTTTGAAGTTTTAAGAAGCAAGCTAGCTATGGAAGACATCTATAAGCCAGCTTGAGGGGGAGTGTTGAAAAAGAGATATTTGGTTTTAATAAGACCAGATTTTAAGGGATATGATAGGCGTGTAAATATAGATAGTCAATGACTAAGATTAGGAAATTTTGCTAGTGTACAGCCTGTAGTCACAGCCTGTAGTTTCCTATTACAGCCTGTAGTCACAGCCTGTAGTTTCCTTTTTTTTAGCTCCTTGTATTTCCTATTTAACTAAAGCATTGTAAACCATTCTTTGTACCTCTGATAAACCATCGTGGCATTACAGTGGTCTTTATTTAAACCACACCCTCACGAATACAGAAACATTACTAAACCACCATTATATCATGGCATTGTAACAAGATACGTATCCCAACCTTGCGTAAAAAAAAATTATCAAACTAATCGTACCAGATTATTTGACTAACAGTGATGGTTTAACTATCCCATCCTAGATAACATACCATACTAATGCATGTCTAGGTCCAATAGATTAGCTAGAATTATATATATATCTACCAAATCCCTATGACCACATGCTCACAACTCTAGCGTAAAACAGCGCTAACACTCCATGGTGTGGAAATATTAGATGGTTGATCACATACTTATGTCACCAACTAAATCACATACCAAAATCCTGAATACCAAGGAAAATAAAATCTGTATAACATACAAATTAACACGTAATGTACTCATACTTAAGACATCATTCTTTCTAGGGAAAATCTCCTCTGAAATCAAACTTACAAAATTGTTACACACAATTTCCTTTTATAGTTTCGTAGGTAATCATCCAACTTCGAAACACAACCTCTAACATAGCTTAAAAGCAACATATGTTTGCCTAACCAAATACCAAGGGCTCAACCCTCAACCTCCTTATATGAGGAATGTAAACCATCTAGCGGGGCTTTATAAAGCAAATTAGAACGTCACAACATAATACCAATGCTCTCCTGAATGTGATATAAAATCTTACATTTCGTTCTGATAAGAACTCCATTAGATCCCCAAACTCTCGGAGAGTAATTCTCATATATCTCTTTTAGAGATGAAAATAAAGTTTAACTATATGTAAATTGAACAACACCAATTCTTCTAATGTCATTCACTATACTACTAGCAAATAATATCACCTTCGTGCGATCATTCATCTTCAAGATCCAGTACCCTCTTTCTTGGATACTCTGAAATCTCCTCCATTAGGATCCTCTCCGGGCTCCTCCTCTTCGCTTTTCTCCTTTTTGAGAACAACTGAAGTCGTGTTGGCCCCGCAATGCGGTGACCCATCACATACACTTAAATCCTTTCTTAGCTTATACTTTGAAGTAGCGCCAACCGGAACTAAACCTTCGATCCCTAATTTTGCCTTCTAGCAAAGAAATCAATAACGTATTCTTTTACTTCTTCGAGTCCTCTATCACTTTCTCCTCAGACTCCATCCTTTTCCTAGTGACAACCATTTTGTAACTACAAAATATAATTGACATCAGCTCATCCTAACGGATAGTAGATAGAGTACAACGAATCTTATTATGGGCTCTAAGTAGCAAGAGACGCAATGCGAAAATCACATAACGAAAGACACCCTAAGGACACTAGAACCTGGAATGCTCTGATACCAACTGTGATACCCCGAATTTCCGAATGCGGGTTGGCTAGGCCCACGCCCGAAGACCCGGTGTAAGAAGCAAACAGTTGTGGCTAGATAAAGCGTTGAAGCGGAGTTCCGTGCAACGGCTTTGGGAATCTGCGAGTTACTACAGCTGAAGTCTATTTTAAAAGAATTGAAGTTGGAAAGCAGTAATCCTACGGAACTCTAATGTGACAACAAAGCAGCCATTAGTATAGCATACAATCCAATGCAACACGACATAACAAAACATGTTGAAATCGACAAACACTTTATCAAGGAGAAAAATGAAGGAGGCCTAGTCTGTACTCCCTACATCCGATCTAAAGAACAGCTAGTTGATACCTTGGCTAAAGGTTTGGCTAAAGGACAGTTTCAAGAGTTAATTGGAAAGATGGGCATAACTGATATCTACATGAGGGGGGGTGTGGAAAAACATATCACCAGAAAATCTGGGATTCTAGGCACGGTTGACCCCAGGATTCGGATCCAATTTATTCGGAATTATTCCCTGAATAAATTGGAATGATTTCTTCCCATTTTAGTCTCTGATTCCAGCTGTTTGCACAGCTACAAATCTTTGACTTTGTACATTTATTTCTTTTCTTATTTATAGCCTAGAGTGTAGCTGTCTTTTCTTGTATATATAGGCCTTGTACAATCTGTAAACAATGAAGGAAATTAATAGAATTCCCTATTCAAAAACTTTCTTCATAATCTATATGAGTTTTTGTGACTGGACAATCTCATAGATAAAGAGTTGTGAGGCAGCAACTAAGAATTTTTTTTGATTCAGAAAAAATATATATATATATATGTATGTATATATGTTATGTTGCTCAAATGTTTACAAGTACTGTTATAGAAAAACTGCCAGTATATATACATGTATATGTTCTGTTGCTCAAATGTTTACAAGTACTGTTACAGAAAAACTGCCAGTATATATAAATCTTATCATATAAGTTCAAATCGCAAACACAAAACTAATACTACAATCAAAAAACTTTTACTGAATCTTTTTTGAAAAATAAGCATACAACATGAGGTAGACAAAAGTTGGGAATGGCATAAGATTGGTACAGTTAGCAATGAAACTAAGACCAAATACCATGTCAGATAAATGAGATGTAATGCATACAAATATAAAGAAGGTTCTAGAATCAAAAAGCAAAAAGTTCAGGTGGATTTCAAATGCTTACGTATCATGCAAGTGATACCCTGTGGACAGAAGAAACCCTCACAACAAGGCGAACAGTCAAGTGTTCTAGCAGGCATGTCCTTTGAAGTTCTAATGTCAACTTTCTCATCCTTCGCAACTCTACAAGCCCATCCTGGTTCACATCCAGGAACCCAAGAGGTTAAATTGCAATTTTTGTTGGGTCTCAAGTAGTTTGTTTTCATTGATCCGCCTTTAAAGAGACTACTGAAGTAAAATATTATATCTGCAGCTGTGCACATGCGGTGCACAAGATCTCCTGTTAATCAACCAAGAACAATATCAAAAATGTAAAACATATAAAACTATCAAAAAAGACTTTGTTGTCACTTACTATAAAGCTATTGGATAATGGAACAAGAACATGATCAGAAAAGTCCAACAATATCCACCAAGCACAATACCATTTTAGGTCTGAGTTGACCTTATAAAAGATCCTCTACATTTAAGAATGAATTATAAAGATGGTGTGGGTTAACAGACTAGGCTATGTTAGAGTAGAAATATAATACCAAGTAGAAATATAAGAAGAAGAAAAAGGAGAGAATTGTGTAAAGGCTTGAATGAGATAAATCACTCATTCACAGCCCTAGTATTTATAAATAAAAAGAGCGCATGCTCATATTAAAAGAAAGGAAATTAAATCAAATCACAGCATATTCTATGGCATATTCTGTAGCATAATCAAATCTCTGCTAATACGATAAGTCATTCCATAAATCATGGCTATCATATCTGCTAACACTCCCCCTCAAGTTGGTGCGTGGATATCTAAGATGCCCAACTTGGACCATGCATCTTCAAACACGGTCTTGCTAACACCTTTCTTCAGAATCTACAAGTTGCAGAGTGCAAATCTGACTAGTACTAATTTTCTTTCAAATGAAGTGCCGATCAACAAATCAAAAATGTCTCCTCAAACGATAAACAATTAACAATGTCATCTTAGACCATAAACAAACAATCATGTCTCTTCAGGCCATAAACAACCAACAATATCTCCTCAAACCATAAATAACCAACAATGTCTCCTCAGACCATTTCCCTTCACATGTTTAAAAAATGTAGATGGAAGAATCAACAATGTCTCCTCAGACCATTCCCCTTCACTTGTTTAAAACATGTAAATGGAAAAATCAACAATATCTCCTCAGACCGTAAACAACCAAAAATGTCTCCTCAGACCGTAAACAACCAAAAATGTCTCCTCAGACCGTAAACAACCAACAATGTCTCCTCACACCATTTATGAATGGGTGGTACCAAACTCGCAACGCCCTCATTGACGTTGGACCACCATGCCTACCCGACACCTCCCTGATAGGCGATGTCACCTATTCCCGAATGGGTGGTGCCAAACTCACAATGCCCTCATTGCAATCGGACCACCCTAGCTCTAATACCAAGTAGAAATATAAAAAGAAGAAAAATAAGAGAATTGGGTAAAGGCTTGAATGAAATAAATCACTCAGCTCTAGTATTTACAGATAAAAAGAGCATATGCTCATATTACAAGAAATGAAATTAAATCAAATCTAAATCAAATCATAACATATTTTATGGCACATTCTGTAACATAATCAAATCTCTGCTAATACGGTAAGTCATTCAATAAATCGTGGCTATCATATCTCAAACAGTTAGTTTGTTTATACGAAAACCTATCGCTTTTTTGTTCTAATAATAACTTTGTGCTTTAGTCACTGATCTTCACTCTTACTCAGACTCAAATTTTTGCAGCAAGAATATATGGATAAGCCGGGTAAGTGCACCAACTTTCAATTGCCAGAGAGCCAGGTAGAAGACATTCGGTTAACTTCCTTAATATCATAGAGAACATGGAAATAGAATCACAAGCTTAAACTAGAGTGGGCAAACACTAAGAGAAGCAAATAACCGACAAGCCATATTGACGGACACTTGATCTCACAGAACCGTTGAGCTTTACCATGAGAAGAGACAAACACCTAGTGGTTCCAAAATTGTTCATGAGGGTTAAGATCGGCACTCTACGTTCTGTCAGAGATTTAATCTAAAGGGGGTGAATAGGTCTCAAAAACTAAAATAACTACCTTTAACAAAAATTTAATTCCAACTAACTTGTATAAATTGAAATTTAATAATCAACAAATCAAAAATGTAATAATTAACATACTGCAGAAATAAAGAAATCAAAAATGTAATAATCCCACACAGAACACCAATTTTTACATGAAAAATCCCATATGGAAAAACCAGGGACCTAGACTAGGCAAATCAACTTCAATTATAAAAATCTTGGTACTTGCTAATATATGTATCTGAAAACATGGTAACCTTTATATAGGAGTTTGAGGCTGAAAAAGTTAGGGTTTAAGTGTTTAACAACTTTTGAAGATTGCCTTCCCAACATGTTAGGTTGATCCAAGCTTAGGTTCAAACAATCGAACCTAATCCAAGTTAGCCAAGGCATTTATAACACAACCCAAATAGGCCTCACTCGTTGATATTTGAACAATTTATCCTATTTTTTTTACAGAACTTCCTTCTTGTATCATCAAATTGTCACACATTAAGACAACACCAACACTGTTTGACTCCAAATTCAAAGCAATGCCCATTGTGCCCTCTTCAATTCTACTAATGCACTTGCCATTACTTCATCAAGACCATGAATATGAGCAACGGCATCACCTAATTGAAGTACAATATAAGAATTTACAATATTTACTTCTCTATTATAATGCTCACGGATAATATTACTAATTTCGTCGGCTCAAATGGTTAACCATGAGTATTTCTTAATTCTTTTTTCAAAGCACAATAAATAAACAATGCCTATTGTAGAAGGACTAATCAGTTATTTCTTTCATCACCCCAATATTGTCAATCGAACTGTCCTGCACTTAAATAATTTAGGTTTTATGTATCAGAAACACTTTTTATGCATTCAAAACATAATTTTAAATTAATGACCAGAATGAATGAACGTGAACCTTAATTTGGTGCGTGCACAGTTTAAGAGTTGAATTGTTGTGGATTGCATATAACTTTTACTATATACTAGATTCTTGAGTTTAAAGTTCTTTTAATTCTGTTTTAATTTAAAATTTGTTAAAACAGTAAAATATTTATCAATAATATAATCCCTATTCAAACCTTCCCTCCCCTTTCTAAAGTCTAGAGCAGTGGACCTTGCGCAACTCTATCATATTTGGTCCGGTCCTTCCTACTATCACTAATAAAATGAGGAATATGATGAATGAAAGTATGAAGAGAAAAGGAAAAGAGATTCTAGGAGAATCAAGAATAAGAGGGCCATTATTTAAGGAAATTTGATAGTGGATTGAGCATATCCAAACTGCCATGAAAACAAAAAAGAGTGTTATAATTTTTTAAATATAAAAAAAATAATAATAATAACAAAATAACAAAATCAAAGATGGAGAAACCGTGAGATATAAGTAGTCAGAGAATGTAACTATTGAACATATGTGATCATTTTTATTCTTAATTAGGTATAAAGGACGTGGAGAAGAATATATACTAACTTGTTTGTTAAGACTATACATTTTAATTATATTAAGTACATAAAGAATGAGGACTGAGAATCTAAGATTTTCTGTTAAAAGAGATTTGAAAGAAGTAGGAAAGTTACTTAGAGAAGATGTGAAATAAAAATCATATAGGAAGCTTCGTTTAGAAGAATATGGTAACTACTGAAAGATTAAAGAAACTAGATCAGGGTATGTGGGGTGAAAATGCATTGAGTTAGTGTGAAGACTACACTTGGTGAATAAAGCTACATCAAAGGGACAAGAATGTCAAAGATCACAGATGTCATCTTCTCAACTCTGAGGTTAAAAAGAAAAAAAATCACACTTGTTATTATCTATTACCATCACACTTTGTTTGTTTATTTGTTTACAAATTGATATAGAGGTATATTAATTTTAAAAGTGGTAATAGATCCATATAAAATTCATTCATTGGTATTGGAGTATATATCATCTTAACAAGTGATATATAAAGCGCGTAATTGAATTAAGTATTGCGTGGATTTGAAAATTGGAACAAGTTTCCGTTGTAGGCCTATTCACCACCCCCCCAGGTCTGTTTAGGGCTATCGTACTACTTCAGTGGAGACCTCTTCAGTTAATCTCACTTCTGAGTTAATTAACAAAACCCCTACAGGCTTTTTTGGAATGGGTGGCTTGGCTTAGATCCAGCCTCATCTTAAGGTGGCATTGACAAAAGCCCAAATTTGATATTTTATTTGAGAAATCCATTGTTGTGGAATCACTAGAGTTTTACTGGGAGCTAAATAATAGCTTGCCAGAGTGATGCAGTGGCAGCTTACTCACCCCAGGTATTTTTCATCCATGATTCTGAAACAAGAAATCCAAGTCTCGCTTACCCAAAGTCCAAATGTAATAATTATATATGCACATAAATACTTTAACCAAGTTGTTAACCACATAAATCCACACTATTTCTATTGTATGTACATCAATGCGAACTATGATGCATGGACCGAAGAGAGAACCCGGAAATGAGAGTTGCATCAAAAGCATATTTAGTTAATGCTTATCCCCTTGTTGCATATATCAATCAAACATGAAAAGCAATTGAACTTAATTAATGGCTATCACAGTTGCTACCTTTTGTCTCCCGAACGCAACTGGACAAGAATTTCAAATCGGAGGAGAAATCGAATGCCCCACTCCAATCTTCCTCACTGCAAGACCATTAAAATGACAATAAGAACACGACCTCCAACTATTTCACAAAAATATGAGTATCAGCATATATAATATAGAAATTAAAGAACAATATATATATATATATATATATATATATATAGTGAATGACTTACAAGTCCTTGACACAGAAACCAAAGTTACTTGTTACATAGCCGGCAAGGACTTCGTCGACATTAATGAAGCTACTAAAGATTTTATTCGTTAAGTCTTGAACAGCTCGAGGATCGTTGGTTTGATTCAACAGTGCTTCATCGTCGACGCAAACTATTTGCCCTGATAAATACAACAAAACTACAACAACGATCGTGACATAGAAAACCAAAGGAGCCTTGTTCACCTTCTCTATGCACATTTCGATCGCCTACAATGTTGAGAACTCGTAAATTTTCCTGCCGAAGCACAGTGCATTGATTGGTGTGGGTTCAGATTCAATGAAAGATGAGCAATTTGTCCAACACCAAATTGGAGGTCAGATGAATGAAGAAAATTAGGGTTTGGTCGAAAGGAAGAGATGTGGTTTTCATCCGGAAAATGCAATGGCTGGGAGGGAGACATGGCGAAATAGGAGGGAAGAGAGAGAGAGCGAGGGCTGGTGACAAGTTAGCTGTTGTCTAATACGATCGAATTAAATTCGAAATTTGCACCGGAGCAAATGAAAAAAAGAACTCCTACGGACTAACGGTACACTTGCATTTTTCCCAAATCACAAGGGACACGTATGTGTGTCAGTTCGTGTGAATAATTTAGGCAAAAGTAAAACACCTCTGAATTGAAAAGGTGAGACACTCGGAGAACTTTTAAAAGTGAGCACTGGCGGCCCTTAAATGTAACAATGTAATTACTTTTCGACCAACTATTGAGTCACGAGACCTATATTTTTGTATATAATGACAACTCTACCCTTCGATATGACTATTATGCCATTTTTACTCCCCCCTTCTCCACAGCAACTGAAAAAAAAGTTCACAAGCAAAATTAAAAAATAAAAATAAATAATAAAAAAAATTCACGTCAATGTAAATATATATATATTTATTATTTAATTATGGTAAGGTGAATAATATATATATATAGCGTTAAGTACAAAAAACCCCATCTATTATGGATATAGTGCAAAACAGTCCATGTATGGTATAAAACCCCATCATACTGTCAATTTGGTGCAATTATCCCCCTTATTTGCATAAAAAGACATTAATGCCCTCTCTAATATAAATAAAATAATATTAAAAAATTAGGCAATCTAAAATTACCATTTTAAATATTTTATTCTTTTATTTTTTTCATTTTTTTTTCTTTTGATTTTTGGTTATTGACGGCCGAGGTACTATTTGGTTGTTGGCAGGGGATTTGAATAAGATCTTGTTTTGGAATCAATAGCTTGTTCAATTTTGGTATGTGCAGAAGCACTTTCATGGGCCCTTAGGTGAGCAAGTCAACAAAGGAGAATCAGAGGCCCTTAAATCAATGGGTTTGCATTCTCACCTTGTCTATCTCATTTCACCAGAGCTATAGTTTTGGAGGAGTTTGCAATCGAAGCGACGGATCGAGCTCGGTGGCGATTTGAGGCGCATTTGGGAGTTAGCTAAGTGGAGATTGGGGATGGGCTTGGATTTGTTATGGCAGGGGAGTATGGAAACGATGCGAGATGGGTATTGACCAAATAGTTTGTCGGCAACCATTGACTTTAAAAATACATCACCAGCGTGCCATCCCCTCTAGGGATGGCAACGGGGCGGGTTTGGAGCGGGTTTCCCTAAATCCTGTCCCGCGCCGTTTAATTTTTGGCAAGTCCATGTCCGCCCCATGCCCCGCAACGGGTTGGATTTTCATATCCATCCCTGCCACGTTAGGAAATATTGTGCCCCCGTGCCCGCCCTGCTAACAATTTTTTTCCACACTTTTCTTGGCTTAGAAATTGATCTGGTGTCCCCCTCTGTCTTCCACAATTTTCTTGGTTGAATAGCCCGAACAGAAAAAGACGAAGAATAGATCAATCCCTCTGCCTCTACCTCTGCCTCTGCCTGAAAAGAATAGATCAAATAAATTATAAAATAAGATATATATATATATATATATATATATATATATATGTGAGTATAAAAAAGCGAGAAGAATAATAGATCTACCTGCGTGAGTGCGTGGATCTACCTGAGAAAAAGAAACAGAGACTAGTGAGGGAGAGAAGGATTGAGGTCGAGGGTTTGGTTTTTGAGTTTTGACTCTCTCTGTCTTCCCTTTATGCGCCGCTCAATTTACACATAAGGCTTAAAAAATTAGGGTTGTAAGAAATAAGTAATTGGGTAAGCCGGTAAAATAAGTTATTAATATTATATAAGAACCCTTACTCGCTTCATGACCCGCAACGGGTACAAAATTTGTATCCACGCCTCAACGGTATAAAAGTTATTCCCATATATGTTATTAACAGGGTAGGACCCGGCTAGGCGGTAAAAATTGCTACCCCTAATCCCCGCTGTAAGTCGCCATCTCCAGAGCCCAATCTGTGGCTTAACGATGGTGAGGATACGATGACCTCTGTAACTCTTTCTCAGTAATGGAAAATGGGGGAATTTACAGAGAGAGCAAAATGAAAGAGGGGGGATTTTAGAGCTGAAAATTATGATTTTTTTGTATGCTTTGGGTATGATAATTTGTTATTTTTTTGAGTTTGTTCAATTTATTGGGTGCTTTGTGTTTGATATATATTTTTTGTTGTTCTGGGTTTTCTCCTATCTATAGAAAGAACATAACCCATTCATATAGGTCACAGATTGCATTGTATCACAGCTATGGACACCATGGACACAACCCACAAAATAGAGAGAGAATTAGGGTGAGGATGGGAGATACAAGAAGATGGCAATGGTCAAAAGGGCATAGTTGAGAGGGATATATATTTTGGAAGATTTGAGATCTAAAATGTTATGGGTCTAGGCTTTCTTGAATGTACCATTAAGAGAGAGGCGAGAAATATACAGAAGTGGTGGTGGTGGTAAGGATGGTGGTGGTGGTGGGGTTGGGGATGGTGGTGGTGGAGCATAGGAGAGAAAGGTAGAATAGGAAAAGAAAAGGGCAAAATAGATTTCTTGAATTTATTTTTTGTTAGAAAAAAGATTGAGCGATTTGATGAGCACTGAAAAGTGCGCATTTAAATCTCTTAAGTTCGAGTATTCTAGGACATTTATCTATCTTATTTTTCCGTTTTAGACTAATTTCATGTTATTGCCTTTTTCAGGTGCTTATCCTTAAAATAAGTCAATTCAGTCAAATTAGAGCATAAAAGAAACAATCTCATGCTAAATGGAAGAATGGAGCAAAGTGGAAGCAAAGTGGTGGAAAACAGCAAGCTTCGATCGATCTCACATTGATCGATCCAGCCCTGCCAAGATGGATCGAACCCCTTGTCCTTATCCTCAAGAATTTCCATCTTTGATCGATCCAACTTTCTTGATCTTATCCCCACCTACCACTTTTGTCTTTGTCCCAAAATATCCCAAAAATATCTCAGATTTGTCTCTTTCCAAAAAGGCACCACCAAGGATTGATCGATCTGGCCTTATTTCGATGGATCTGGCTAGAGTTCAATCGATCTCATCTAAATTCAATCGATCAAACCTCCTCAAGTTCGAAATAAAATAGAGTCCAACTCATTAAAAGATGGCTCGTGGTACAATCATTGAGAGGATCATAGTGCACGAGACCTAACCATTGGGTGTGACACTTGAGCTACATATATAAGGATTTTGAGCCATTTTTATATCTCATCTCATAGAATAACATATCATCAATACTATCTTGGAGAAGAGGCTAGAGATTAGAGAGACATACACACTATTTGGGAGTTCTTCTATTCTTCTAGGGTTTCCATCAAGAAGAAGATCATTCCTACCATGGAGATGGCCCTTGAGGGTTGGATGACTACATCAATGAGTGGCTAAACATCTTCTTGGGGCTAGAGTTAGCCCTAAGCATGCCTTCTAGACCTTCATGCTTTGTATTTTGAGGGGATTTGTGTTGTAATCTTGTCTTGACATTTGATTTATATATATGAATCTTGTTTTTACAATGATTTGTGTTGATTAATACTTCCAATTGATCATTTCATTCTATCCATATGTCTATGTATGCTAAAATAGATGTTCATATGTTTATCTCTTGGTTTTGTGATATTGATGCATGTCTATGTGTAGTGATGTTATGAATCTAGAGATTGTCAAGGCATAGTGCTTAAATAGAATACTCTTGTAATTTGTTTGATAGTTCATACTCATTTATTGATGGATTGTGCCTTCACCTTAGTTTAATTAGTTTAATTTTCATGTCCTTAGCTTAGATATAGTGCAATTGCTTTACTTTTTTAGATATGAGGACAATCCATGCTTATTGTTTGATGTTCCATACTTATGAATGCAAGTACTATAATTCTCTAACTTGTTAGTGTGTTGATTGTGAGCGTAAAGGAAGGAATAATGGCTTAGTTTGATATATTGTGCTATTCACTAGATTATCTAGACAATGTATACTTAATTAGTCAATCCATGCTTGTTGATTTAATCAATCACACCTCTTTGTATTGCAACACATATTTCCCTTCATTCATTACACATTAAGTGTCTAGAATGGTGATGTTTAGGGGTGACCTCTAAATCCCAAGACCTCTCTCTCTTGTTCTCTACCCTTTTATTTAATTTAGTTGCTTAGTATTGAATTTATTTATATTGTAGTTTAATTAACCAATCAAAACACCTTTTGATCACTCGACCTACTAGTCCGACCTTGTTTCCATATTAACATTGCCCCCAGTCCCTTGGGATGATCCCTACTCACCCTATCTATATTAGTAGTTAGAGGTAGTAGTGGCACTTTATAAATTTAAACTTGGCCACACTTTTATTGCAACTTTGGTGCACACACGCGACACCACACCAAGTTTTGGCGTCGTTGCCGGGGATTGATTTGGCAACGTCGTGTTTTGAAAATAATTAGGAATTAGTACTCTTTTGATTGTGTTTTTACTTTATTTTACTTTAGTTACTTATTGTGTTTGTTCTTGATTGGTTAGGTGAATTGAGCAAGGAAGTGAAGTAAAGGAGAATTGAAAAGCAAGGAGCGAAGCTAAGCATAAAAAGGCTAAAATCTAAAAAAAATTTGCAAAAGGAAGCAAAGATTGAAAAATGAATTGAAGTTGCTTAAGGACCCTTTGTGAGCTCTTTCTTAACTTAATCTCTAGTTAAATCGTCGGCCCGTATGGTGGCAAGTTCTTAAATTCTTAGATAGATCGTGAGCCTACGTGGAGGTAATTTACTTTTCTTTGCATATTGTTCAAGCATGGGAGTATGGGATCATTGTATGTGGAGATTTGTTGATTGATTTGTTGTGGGGGCAAAATGATTGTTATTTGATTGATTACTTGTTATTTGTTTTGTTAATGCATGTATGGTCGTAGGTCATTAAATCCTACTCTTGTCCCTTCTAATTTGAATCTTGAATCCATTGTTCGCAATCCTAGGGGGAGAGGTAGCTCTCATCACTCCATTTTACCAATGGAGGAGCAACACGACGACTATGTGGAGGACCTTGGTCACATAGACCAACAAAGCATCCTCCACCCTAATGTGCATCATGACAACATCTAAGTACCATTAGGCATGCCTAGACTATTCATTCCACCACAACAACAAGGCCAAATTCCATTGGGAATGCCTCGGCCAATTTTTGCTCCACAACCTCCCATGGTTCAAGTTAATCATGGTGTTCGTTTGGCACCACCGGTTGGGAATCCTCCTTTGCTTTGTGTGATTATTATGTTCCAAATGAATACAATGCACTGACATGCATTCAATTGCCCCCATTTAGAGCACATCACTATGAGATTAAATCGTAAACCATTCAAATGCTTCCTAACTATCATGGACTTTCAAGTGAAGAACCTTACAAGCATTTGAATGAGTTTCTTGAAGTGTGTTCCACCGTGAAATACACGAACATGCCAGAAGAAGTGTTAAGACTCAAACTTTTTTCTTTTACCCTTAAAGATAAAGCAAAATATTAGTTCAACAATCTTAGGGCTTTTTCGATAACTTCTTGGGCAGAAATACAACAAGAGTTCTTGAAGAAGTACTACTCGGTATCAAAGACCAATGCTATGAGAACTTCTATTCGTGAATTTTCTCAAGGGGAAGGGGAACTATTTCATAAGGCATGGGAAAGATTTAATGATTTGCTTAGGAAGTGTCCACATCATGACATTCCTAAGTCACAATTAGTTCAATACTTCTTTGAAAGTTTGCCAAATAATCAAAAAGGAATGGTAGATGCATGTATGGGTGGTTCTTATCTTGATAAACATAAAAATGATGTTTGGCAACTGTATGAAAGTATGAGTGAAAATT